GGTGATCAAGATGCTCTGCGCACTCCAAGCCTAYACATCCCGTGCTCCACAGCCAGCTCCTTGCAGGAGCCACACCAGCCACAAGCGCGTTCTCAAGAGCCTTGGGCAACGAGCAGCTTCCAAGGCCTAAGGACCGCATGCACGCACGCGGCTGCGGCACACAGAGCRGACCCAGCAGCTTATCACCTTCCCCTGGGCTTATCACACTTCAGCTGCTCTGTATGTGCAATAAAGAGGAGCCCTAAGAAACCGTTCTGCTCCATGTTCTCTAGCTGGGTCCGGCAAGTCTTTGAAGATGAAGAACATCCCAGATGGACACAAGCTGGTTTGCCRGGGTCAGGTGTCTGCTCTATCCCCCAGAAAGATCCAGGCAGCTGCTGTAACACGGCAGCCCCGCACACCTCTCCGTGCGGCACCAGCCCGTTCAGCCTGGCTTTTCACAGGGAGAACGTGGTGCCTTTGAGAGATTTCCGATTACCATCGGAAAGGTCAGGCCGTCCATCAATACTCCCCATGGGCACGATCCAGGGCCCACACAGACGCTCCCTGGGAAAGGAGCCAACATTCAGCCCACGCTCATCAACACAAAGTGGTCCAATTTGATGATTTTCCTGAAGTGTTACCACCTGATTTTGGGGAGGCGCAGGCGTAAGGAGAGGCTCCTTGCCCCGGAGCATCACCCAGGGCCAGTCCCTCCRTGCACTGGAGCTGTGCCCGCTCGGGCGGCAGAGCCCGCGGCTCCGCTCACGTTCACCAGCTCCACTGCGGGTTGTGCTGGGACGCAAGACAAAGATGTCAACTTGTGGTGACAACGAAATTACAGTTTAGAGAAGCCCCATACCTGTCAGGAAACAAAGCCCTGACCCTCCAGGCTGTCTCCTGAGCTCCGTGGATTGCTCAGGCACCATTGTTAGAGGTTTCTTTCTTGCTTCCCACGTCTCCCAGAAGCAGCAAATCATCCTCACTGCCACCAGTAGTGGAAAAAAAAATGGGGACAGTGGAAGTGGCCTGTCAAATTAATGGACACGGCTTGTTTCCTCTGCAGGGGGCAGAGCAGCCTTCAGTGCAGGGGATGGAAACTGAGCGCGTCTCCTTTCTATGGGAAGGGAGCCATAAGCTCCAGCAGGGCAGAGGAGAGGCAACGGAGAGGGAGCTCCGAGACCTGCATCGTGCTCCGCGGCTGCAGGTCCCATGGCAGCATGGACAGCCACAGCAAAGGCATTCGGATCAAACCCGGCGGGCAGGGACGGCTCAGCCCCAGCGGGGGTGAACTCCAGTTGCCAGCTCAAGAGAGAGTCCAGGGCACCCAGCTTTCCTCTTGTTTTAGCTCAAATTGAGCGCGGCATTTTCTTCTTCCCTTTTTTTTTTTTCTCCCCCCTCCTCCATTTTTCCTCCTTCCCTCCCTCTAGTGCAAATCTATGGAAATAAACTGCAAGATGAGCCTGGGTTTTTTACCTGTGCTTTAAGGATGCAATAAGGAGCCTGCAACTAAAGGCAACCTGGAGGCTCCAGCAAGCTCCCTGCAGGGAACACACCAACACGTTGGCAAGGGGGCTCCTTCCTTTAGCAGCTCGGACCCCCTTCCTTGGCCTGAAGGAAGCTTTAGGAACACGGGGCCGGGAATATCGTCCCTGGGAACGGAGCGCAGAGGTGGGAACGCGCTGCTGCACATCAGCAAAATGGCAGCGGCGCCAGCCCGCAGGTGGACACGTACAGCAAGACACAGGCCTGCGCCGGAGCAGAGGGGGAGTTTCTAACTGAAATCCCCCAGGAAACTGCTCTTGAGCGTGGAAATGGGGAGAAAGGAGAAGGGGAGAAGAAGGGAAAAAAAAATAAAAGAGAGAGAGAGAGAGAGAGAGAGAAACTGCAAAATTCCTGACTGAACCATTTCATTTTAGAATACAATAGGAGGAAAGCAAACAATAGCTGAAAGAAAACATTCTGATAGTCACGTAGGAAAGTGCCACGTTCATTTTTCAAATTCTGATGAACTCTACCAAAAAAAAAAATCTGAAAGAAGTAAAAGAACCCACATGGATTTCCATTTCCTTGCTTCAGAATTTACCCCYGAGAAAACGCGTCCCTGCCACCCTTCTCCACGGCCCCAGCTCCGCTCCAGCTGCTCTCTCCTTGCCAAAACCCTCGGCCTTGTCAAGTCCRGAACAAAAAGGTGCAGGAAATGGCAGCTCCCCACAGAGGGGAGGGCCTGGCTGCCGTTTCCCCATGCAGGCAGCCCCACACAACACGGCCCCCATCCCCTCACGAGTTCAGCCATGGCAGTGACGCTGCGGCCCGTCATTCCCCCTCAGGCCGTGCCGACAAATCCCCTTTTTCCCCCCTCAGGAGAGGGGACACAAAGGCAACTGCAGCCCCACCACAGGGACGAGGCGGCCTGCCCAGGCCCACCATGGCGCGGGTGCGCGGGCCCCGGCGGCCGCCGCCACGCGCGGGGATCAACGGGGCCGCGCGCGCTGGCACCGTTACCGTGGCGACGGCCGGCGGGCACGGCGCGCGCAACGCTCCCCTCGCTCATCGATTGAGCCACCGTCAAATTCAATCACAAGCGAAAATGGATTTTTTAATGCGACTATTAGCTGCTTTTGAAAGGCAAATTGAGTTCAGTTATACCGAGCCAGCCATCAAAAAACAATTTGCYATCAGGCAGCCGGACCCGTGCGGAGCCCCGGCCCGGGCAAGCCGGGAGGGGAGAGCGGGGATGGAGAGGATGGAGGCGAAGGGAAGAGGAGAGGCCGCAGGCATTTGGGCAGCTCGCCCACCAGGCAACTTCCCAAGTGAAGAACTGAAAGGAAATTATGCTTTCTCTCCTCCTCACCTTTTCCTGCCTTCAATAATGCTTTAAGGATAAGGAGGGTGAGGTGCAAGACCAGGCTTGGTGGAGCCATCTTGAGTAAAGCTCCACATCTCTACAATGACAGGGGGGGTTCAACAAGGGTTTGAGACTATCACCTACTCTGGGGAAATGCCAACATTTGTGATATAAACACTGGGGTTTTTGAGAAACAAGCAAACCCCGCTCTTCTCAAATACGGACATATGTGTCCCAACGGACACATGAGAAGCCAAGACAAGGACAAGATACAATGGGAGGGACTCAAGAGATTCTCATCCCTGCCAGGAGACCCAAGAGAAGTAAAGCCAGCATCGTGCCACCCTCTCCAAACCACCACATGTCTATCAGTTAAACAAAGCTCATCTGCTTCTAGAGCTGCAAAATAAGATTTTTCCCCAGCTGATTAGGAACGCAGATTCTCATTACTGTGTTAAGTGAGGATCAATGTTGCAGCAGACTCTGAAATCACCACTATCCGGCTCAGTGCTGAGCTCACCAAATTCCCCAAATCTGGCGCCAAAGAGGTCGAGCGCCCTGATTTCGCAGGGGAACAAGAAAGGGAGGAAGGTTGTGGGACAGGACTAAACAGCCTTCGGGTTTAACTTGAAAGTCAAAACAGYCTACACTAGTTCTGGCTGGATTTACCTCTATGCATGCATCTATACATAAAAATACTGTATGTAAATACCAAAAACACAAACAAAACAAAAATTTTGCTGTAGGGTTCTGGACTATAATTTAGACTTAATGATCTAAAAGCAARATTTGATAGGCCCGAGAACCTAAAAAATGCAGAATTTGTGAGAGCAGGGGGAAGAACCCAGCTCTATTTTAGGGTGCTGGCCTTTCTGATCATCCTCTCGATCCCTTAAGCAAGCTTACTCAGCCACATTATTAAACACTTGCAAGAGCAGTCCAGGAATTTCTATAGCAGTGTAATCCAACAAGATCTGCTTTCACAGAGTCTGCGCTTCCCGTAAAGCCTGGAGTCTCAGCTAATGAGAGCTTAACCGCATGTTTGTGGTGGATGAAATAGTGTCGTTTTGCAATTATTATCATTCAAACGCTATTTATTTAACCTGCAGCCACATTATATTGACTGCAGAATTGCTGTCATTTTTACTTCTGATGGCTCATTTATTGAGCCCAACGTGAAACACTGTGCTTGGCGTCCCCAGTCTCAAAAGCATTTTTCCCTGCGCCCTCTCCAGCCCTCCCACCCCAACCAATATCTCTCCTCCAGAGCTAACGCTTTTCTGTACTGCCATCCCCCAGCAAAGGTCCATTTAGAGGTTTCCCTGACACTTTTTCCACTGCTTCGTCTACTCCTTGTATTTGATTTGAGGAATTAACCTGCTTTTACTGTCAATTTGAGGTACCATGCACCAGAAAGCTCCAGATGCCAAAGAACAGAAAAGGGGACTTTATGCCACCTTTGCATCCTTCCCAGTAGCTCTGAAAGCTCCTATCAAGCTCTGGAAGCGAGGCAGAGGCAAGAAACTCCATTCCACACTGGATAGTGAGGACACACCAGCCCACCTTGTGCTAGAAACCCTGTAGGACGGAAGCTGCAAGAAAACAGCACAGTGGGTCACAGCTACCAGACAGCAGCAGAATAAACACCTGGGCTCCATTTCCCAAGATCTGMATGCTGCTAGAGCAGAAATCTGCCCTTTCCCTCTCCTCACCCCAGTTCTTTTCCTCTCACACATCCCTCCTGTGAAGCTTTGTGAGCCAATAATCACAAAACACAAAATCCAGTGCTTTCTTTTCTCTTAAAAAGGGGCGGGGGGGAAGCCTCCAAATGCAAAAGATGAAGTCATCTCTCCTCTGGTGATGGCACAGCTGCCTGAAGAAGCTTGCAGTGCAATGCAATATATTTTGATCACTGCTTCATCTAATTACAGAGAAGAGAAAAAACACAAAACAGGATTTTAGGATTTTTTGTTTTATTTTGTTGTTTTGTCTTTTAAGGCATCCAAAACATAATAAAAAAGCAGCAGCAGTGACAGTCCAAGCAGAGGCAGCTTCCCCATCAGTTTTGCAAGGCAGACAGCACCAGGATGCAGAGCCAGCTAGGAAAGGGAGAGATTTCAAAGAGCCAGATCAGGGCAGGATGAATTGCCCAAGCCCAGGGTGTACAAGCATCAGACCAGGATCTCAGTGCCCTAAGATCGCTCAGACCAGGATACAGTGTCCATCTCTTTGGATTCAAAGAACGTTAATTCAGAGTCAAGTTCTTGCTGATGCCTCACACCACAAGGAAGGAGGAAAAAAAGTCCATGTGAGCAAACATTGCTAWGTCTCAAGGAGTGACTCGTGCGCGTGAGCTTCAAGATATCAGCCAGATGCTTGGTAGGGAAGCAAAGGTTTGCTTCCAAACCCGAAGAATATTGGCTTACCCTGGGCAGAGGCAGTGGTAGCTCCGCTTCAGAAGAAAGCCTAGACTGTTCTAGGAAACATCTGAGACCRTTCAGGTGTGGTTCAAAGCAGGTGGCAGCGGTGACAGAGCCTTCACGTTAGCCTCAATTCCTGAAGAAAGCAGGCTGCCAAGGGGAGAGGTCTCAAAGGCACAGCAGGCATCAACACCCACATCCTCTCCAGACCCAGGAGGGGCTGATTGCCTCCCTTATTCAGTGCTTTGAAAAAATTCACTGTGAAAGGTTCGTGGGGTGCAGCTCCCAGCCGCTCCAGGACATTGTTCACCACAGAAAATAGAGATCTGAGGAGCTCACAATAAAGCCCTAATCACACTTGCTGCTATTTCCCTGTCTTGCTCTTCAAGCACAGAGGGAGTCGATGGCCAAGTAGAAACAACCACCACCTCCGAGGAGACCTCGCGTGGCAAGAACCCAAACGGAGGCACCTGGGGAGCCCGTGCGGCTGCTTTGCTGGACATGTAGAGATGTGATGGCAGGTTGTTTAAAAGAACTTAATGAAAGGCTGTGCAAAGTGAACAGAAGGCTACTTTCCTTCTACCCATGTCCCCATGGAATTTCTGGGGGAAACCTGATTTTTAAGTTTCCAGACCAGGAATGCAAAATGCAGTCTGATAAATGTAGCTTGGCAGCTGTTTGGGACAGGTATGGATGGCACTTCGAGCTGTGGGAACCTAGCCCAGAAACCTCCAAATACTGCAAGAAAACAAGCAATCAATGGGGAAAATGCCCACAGACAGCGTCTGGTGGGTCCCAGCAGCCCATTTTCTTTCACAAATATCCGTCCCCTGYGTTCTGCTGACAAATTGGCCCCCATACATTTTGCCAAAAAGCTGTTTTCTAAAATGATTGCTCAAAGGATCATATTCGCTGCCTCTTACCCTGCTTGAGTGGGGGCACACACAAGCGAGCAGAAGGTGTCTTTCTTAAGCAAAGAGTAATGAGCTTAGTCCAGGTTCACGCACACGTGAAGAGCAGGCTGAAGCAGCTGGAGCTTCACGTGTGATGTTCACAGACCTTGCATCAGCCTGGTGAAAACGAGCACACTAGAATCACTGCTGTCACGGCGGAGTCAAGCGTCCCAGGTCATTTCTRGAAGTCCCTTCCCTCTGCTTTGTAGCTCTCCACCAAGTCATGCCTGCCAAGGATAAAGAAGAATATCACCCCGGACCTCTCCAAGATGGGATCAGTCCTCTGGATTTTCCCCGTTGGGTGTGTGGGAGAGGGAGGGGACGGGCGCTTAGTCATTTCTGCAGAGCACCATGTGCACCCGCTCCTCGAGTGGCCCAGATCCAGGCTTGACAAGGTCAAGCGCAAGAAGAAAGCTCACCCGGGGCTACTGGGAGGCAGTGTGCGATGGAAGATTAGTCACCATCCAGCTGTCTGCATTTGAGAGGAAAGAGAGAAGTGCTGGAAGAAAAAATAGCTAATAGGGGGTAGAGGACACGGGATACACAACGGCCTAGCACAGCAGAGCATCTCAAACACTTGCCATCAGCCCCTAGCGCTGCCTCCAATCTGCAGAGCTTCTCTCTCCCTCCCTGCATGCAGCTCATTCACCTCTTGGTCTGTCTCCACTTGAGGCACTGGAGGCTCTCCAAGGTTTGCAAGGTCAAGTTTTTCCAAGCGTGGCCAAAAACCCCAAGTCCCAACCATGTGAGGTCAGAGGGAGACCCGACTGTCCTAACCTTTAGCAGAACTGCACCAGTAACGAGAGGTTTTCTTCACAGTTGCTCCTGTCATCTTGCAGGACGCTGGACACATCCCAAGCTGGTCTGCCTGTTCATTCACTGCATCAGCGTTTGCCTAAGCAAATAGCGTGAAAAGCTCCCGCTCCACAAATAGCGGCAGAGTTGTCTAATTGGGAAGAAGGCCGAGAATTACAGAGAAAAATCACATGCAGGCAGTGCAGGCAATGGCAAAAGGGGTCTGCAAACCACAAGGCCACATTTGCCCTCCCTACATTTTTATTCCTGGTCACAATGCCTCTGTCAACAACGCTTTCTGCATACTCAAAGAGGACCATACTCCTGCAATTACATGGCAATCAGAAGCAAATTACATTCTTGCTGTTTACTTTCAGTGTCCTTAATTAATCCGGTTATTAGACGATTAATGAAGCTTGTTTGGTGAAAAACTCATAGCATTTACAACAAGCGCTCACACATGCACCCGCCTGGCATCTGGCCCCGGGAAACCGGCACGCCGGGCTAGAGGCAAAAAGCCCAACCCCGTTCCCTGCCTGTAGCTCTGCTCGGGGGTGACCCATTGCAACCAACTCCATGGTCTGGGGGGTCTCAGAGCCTGGATTTTCCAGCCCGTCCTGCCCTCTGCAGCTCACCATGCCCTGCAGCAGGGCAAGGAGCTCTCCAGGAAGCAGGACAGGGACACGGGCTTGGCCTTGCCAGCTCCCAACGCYGCGGAGATGCCACCACCAGCTCAGAACCTGCTAGCGAACGCCTTGACTCCGCGCAAACGCTCGACATGCTCTTCCCGCTGCCGCCCGCTCCCAAGGCAATGCCGCCCTCCCCAAAGGTCACTCCGGCTTGTGTTTGGTTAAGCCACCGATAATTAAGTGGCATGTTCAGCTAATGATCAAACCGCTGCGCCAGGAGCATGAAAGAATGAGGAGAACTAATTAAGAAGCTCATTTGCATACTCCAGCGTTTCCGGTGTGTGTATGGGGTTKCCATAGCAACCAGCACAAAAGCCGGCGGTGGCGTGGGGGTTTTCGTGAGTTTGGAGTGCTGTGCCTTCCCTTTGTCATCCCCAGAAGATAACTAAGGTTTGGAAGGAAGAGGGTACGGCAGCCCAGCTTGGCGACAGGAATCCTGCCAGGGCAGGAGGAACACGGTGCCAGCCCAGAGGAATTAGCTCAGGGTTTGCTCTTCCAAGCACTGCGGTCCAAATAAGACACCTGAGGACAGATGCTTGGCCTGATGCCACATAAACGCCAGACCAGGTACTGTTCTGCTAAAGAGACTCTCCAGAGTCCCTTTGGCCCATGTGCGGTAAGGAGCAGACACCTCCAGAGAACACAGTTTTCAGGAGGAATCACACCAGACTTCCTTGCTTCCCCACCTAGAGGCACTCCCCATGAGGAACCTGCTGCAGGGACCCCAAGTTGCTGCTTGAAGATCCAAAACACATATTTGAGACTTGATCATCAGCATGGCTATGAAGGAAACTAGGCAGGTAGGGGCTGGTGARGACATCAGCCCAAGTCACTGCAAGTTCCCGGCACAGCAGCTCTGGAAGGCAGCTCAGCACCACGCTCCCCTCATCATGCCTCTTTTGTCAAGGATCAACCTTTTTTCTGCTCTGCATTTCTGGCAAGAAACCTTTACATTTAGATAAGGAATAAAACCTGGGATCAAATCTGAACTCCGCAGCACAGAAGATCAAGGTTTTAATGAATTAAATATATTCTAAACCAAACGTAGCCTCTTAACACTCAAAAATTTGAGCAAGAATAATTTTAAAAAAATAGAAAAGCCAACAATCTAACTCATTTCAGCTCTCTCTGGCTGTGAATTGGCTGCAAGCCAATCAATTATCTTGAATTTATTCATTACTCAAGATTCCTCAAACAGCCAATTTGCAGGCTGTGCATTGTAGGTGAGCAGCTCCTCCTGCGCTGGCCACACTCCTGGTTCAGAGCGGTTTGCAGGGCGGCTGCAGCCAACAGCAGCCTTTACAGGTGCAAGTGCAGCCCAAAGTGACAAGAAGCATCCCCCCAAGGGCAGGTCCTGCCAGGCCTGGGGAGGTGCATTTAATTCCTCCGCACTTATTCATCTTTGTGCAGGGAGGACCTAAAAGCATAGCCCAGCATCCTGCTAGATCAGGGCTTTCCCCTCAGCAACGCATCCCCCCCACCACGGACAGAATGGGGAAAATTCTAAAAAATTCTGGGAAAATTAATGTAACCCTGCAGTTAACCAGACGTTCTTGCATTTCCACTTGAAATCCTGCACCTGGCCGTTACTCAAGCTATTGTTGAGGAAGCTCCTGCGCTGTCCCTGCACCACCCAGCAGCCCRGAAGGATCTCCTGAGCCTTTGAGCYGGGAGAAAACCRCCTTGTCCATCCAAAACCTTCTCCTCCCCCAACATTGTTTTTGTTTCCCCCTCCCCCCATTTTACTCTCAATAAAAACATAATTACAGGCTTTTAAAAAAAGCAAATTATAGTGACATACTTTAATTATCTCCAAGCAATGGAGGACTAAATTAYACAGTCAGGGAATCGGAGGTTACCTAAAAATAAAAGCAAGAAGCTTCATTAAATGCTAATTGCAGCTTTTGCTTTTGAAGTAAGATTTTAACACAATCTGCCAATGACTCGCTTGACCATACGAGGGAACACTGGTGCTGGGGAGAGACCCTCATGTTCATGGCACACACATGTCTCCATCCAAGGCTGACAGGCCTTGGCCATGGCTATGTGCAGGTGACACGTCCAACTCCGCTCTGCCTCCAAGCCAGAGCCTGTCCCCAGCCATGGGCTGCTTCCACCTTCTTCTGGAGCACCCGTCATCATCCAACACTGCTTCCCTGGCATCTCTCCACCCTCACAGCAGGATGGATGTGCTCACTGCAGCTCTCCATCCCCTTCCACAGAGCAGGAAAACTAAGCTCCACATCTCTGTTTACATATTTGGTGGCTCTGCAAGGGTCTGATGCTCCAGGAGAGAAGTTCTGGTTGGCAGCTGCTCTCTTTGGGTAAGACACTCCATAGTGCAGACATTAGCTTAACCCGCCTGCTGCCTCCCACCATGGAATGAAGCAGAGCAGCTGTCACAGCCTTTGCTGCCTCCTGCCCCAAATGCACATGTGCGCCCTGCTCCGAGCTGTCCTCAGGCTCCGCAATTCCCTGGGAGAGCAACCCGGTGGGGACCTGCCTCAGAGCAGGGAACAAGCCACGAAGCTGCCTCTGCTGCCTTCCAGCTCCAGGCCAGCTCTTCCCATCCCCTTGCTCTGGGTTTGGAGACCTGCCGTGGCTTTGCCAGGTCTCCAGCCCCGGGGCAGCGGGGAGAGAAGACGGGCAATGATTCCACCCAAATCGGTGCTACTGAGGAGCAAGGGCCAGCGGGGCAGGGGGAGATTTTAAGAATTCACAGAGAAATGATTTTGTTTTTCCATTTCCTATAGAGTTGGCCTAATTGTGTCGCTAAAGTCTGTAATTTGCCTCTCACGGAGCGGAGTTAATGATAGGCTCCACGCTGCTGCCTCCCCGCGCAGGCTGCGGCAGGCGAGCGCATGCTCCATGCGCGCCCGGCTGCGCCCGCCACGCTCTGCCGCAGCCGGCAGCACCCGAGCACCCTGAAAGCACCCGCTCGGCCCCACAAACAGGGTGCTAGAGAGCCAGGGAACCGGCACCAGGGCGAGCTGAGGCCAAGGGAAAGGTCCAAGGAGAGGGAGCTCGTGGGATGGCAAGCCTGGGGTCTTGCTGTCTCTCATCCGAGCCTCCCTGAAGACCTTAAAAACACTCAGGCCAACCATTCGGGGAACTCAGGCAATTATTGTCATTTTAATTCAATGACCCTTCACAAAAATAAGGGAGAAATCGCACAAGTGCTTTCAGGCTGCAAGGGAGGCGAAGCGGATAAACAGCAGCATGGATTTCAGGACAGGAGCCTCATTTAAAAAAATTATATGTATACATATGCATGAATATGTACATACACAGAGCACCAAAAGCTCGTGCCCACCCATCAGATCACACAGCATCTCCTCCGTTCTGCTGCTGCTGAGCCACAACCGGCAGAATTGCTCCCAGAAACATTAAGCAAAGCTGTATTCCCATCCCAACAGAGGCAACTGGCTCCCAAAGTCACCCTGGCTGCGGCCACCCCTGCTCTGCAGCCGCCCGCGCCGCAGCCCGGCTCCAGCCCCATCGCTCGCCGAACATCGCCACCGCTGAGAGACGGCTCCCTTYTAATTAGCTTTCATAATCGAATAAGTGTCTAGAATTAAGCAGCACCGCGTTATGAAACACGGTATTAAATTAACCAGCCGTGCTCGGAGGTCACCGCATCCGCCCCCGAAACGCAGCCAGCCCTGGGACGGACACAGGCCTGTTTAGCAGCGACAGGGACAGCGCCAGGGAGTGGAGGTTTTAGCCGATAAAAACGGGGCCAATTAAAATTCTGTTTCAAGAMCAGCGAGGTTGGCTTTGTGCAAATATTTTGCATTTCTGTTTAAGAGCATCTTTATATCATTTAAGCTGAAGCCTGTAAGGAATAAAACTGAATCACTGTAAAGCACACTTACACCAAAATAAGTACCCACACGAGGACTCTTTTGATTTAACACTCCACCAGATCCATCGAGAAATCAAGATAGCTATTGTGTTTAAATAGGGCCTGATGCGAGAGAGAAACATGAATTTCTTTGAAATTTAGAGGAGCAACTTCCCGCTGGAGCACGAACAAGAGTCAGATGCACCCGCGGCAGGAAGCGCCTTCCCGGCCCGTCCTGGTCTTGGGAGCCCAGATGCCACCATTCCCTCTATGGCATTTRTGGATGCTGGGCATCGTCAAGCAGCCGAGCGCAGAGTTATTGTGATTTTTGCTTGCCCACCCCTTCCTGCTGCCCCGTGCACCAGGTAGCTGATGCAGCGCACTCCAGGGCCGGCCGCGCTCGTCAGGAAGTGGTTTGAAGGCAGAAACATTTTAGAACGTGATAGACAAGGACAACACCTCATAGGAGAGGGAAATAGCTCATTGAGCGGGGAAAGGAGAGCAGTTGGAGGAGCCCYGCTCCGTGCATCCTTCAGAGCAGAGAGCACCGAGCTGGGTCCTGTGCATCTCCTCCAGCCACCAGCCCGCTGCACCATGCCCCAAAAACCACCTGGGACAACCAGTAGACAGATAAGTCTGGAAAAAACCTGCTTGGGGCAGCACATTCATCCCCAGTGCAGCCTCTCTGGATAGCTCAGAGTACCCCTCATCCTACCCACTGCRACGGGAACGGGAGGGATGCCCAGTTAAGGTGGAAACAGCCTTCTAAACAGCCCCAGGTGGAGTTTAAGGGGTGAAACTGCTCGTAAACAGCAGAGCAGTAACTCCAAGCTACAAASAGCATCAGATAGATGAGCTGGGACTTTCTGGGAGCCCTCTGAACCAGGCAGCACTTCACCATGCGATCAGACAGTGATGGATGCGGTGGGAGCGAAGCAGTTTTTTCTCCAGAGAAGCTTTTTTGACAAGTATGATCTTATCAAAGTTTCAAGCTTTTCATTATCTTTTTTTTTCCCTCCCCTCCTCCTTTTTTTTAATTTCTGCCTCCAAGCCCCACTCTGTCCTCTCCACGCTGGCAGGGAACACTCACTTTTCCCTTCTCATCTTGAGTGATAGCAGAGGCTCCCCGCGGAGCTCGGAGCGGGTGGCACAGAGGCTTCTCCTCCCCGGCACGCGCAGCCCATCCAGCCCGCAGGAACGAGCAGGGAGCAGAGCCAAGACCTCCAGAGAACACACAGATAGGAACAGGAGCGCGTGTATCTCTGGGGCAATATCAGGCAGGCAGGGAGGGAACACACAGAGATCTCCAAGCTAGGGGGAACACACTGGAATGGGTGGGAAGGCACCCAGCATCCTCATCCATGAAGACTAGGACATCCAGGACACCGCAGCCAGCTCCAACACTCCTGGAGAGCATCAACCTGCCCTCAAAAGCTGCAGGAATACAGCAGCAGCATCCCACTGGAGCCACCTTTCCAGGGCAGGCAGCAAAGCCTTTCTCTGCCCAGCCAAGGAAGGGCTCCCCTTCCACAGGTCACAGCTGCTCCCAAGCATAGAGGTCAGGACCATCTTCTCCTCTCTTGGTTGCCACCAAGAAGARCCATCCCCCTTCAGAGAGTCTTGCACAGGAGCAGCAGCAACCACAGAGCCCTCCTCAAACCAGGCAAAACCTCTTTGAACAGCCTCATAGCTCACCTCACAGGCTGGCCTCTCCCAAGGACATCATCCTTCTCCCAGGAGAAGGCCGAGCTGCTCTAGACAGGGAAAGCGTCCCCACCRGCCCAGGTGAACCATAATGGGTAGGTGGAGCTGGTCCCAGCTGCAAAGAGGGAGGTTAAAAAGGGGGGGAAAAAGGGAAACACCTGAGCCTCGGCACTGCTCCAACTGCCCCCAGCCTCAGCTCAGCCCTGCACGTGCCAGGGAGGAACCGATGGGGAGGACCTGGCCCAAACCAGGGCACCTCCCAGAGCCAGACGCCAGCAGGCACCAAGGGACAACAAACGCTGAGTGCAAAACCATGGTCTTTTATTAGAAATCTCTTTGTATAAAAATGATCATGCTCTACACAGTCATCGAATAATTCATAAACATCCAGGCACTGAACTTTTTTTGTATGTTTTTGTTTTTTGACTGGTCAGTACATAAAGCAGACATATTTCAATCCATATGGTCATCACATACATTAATTAACCACCTATAGAAATCAGCACTTTGAACACAGTCTAGGTTGAATTGTACTTTATTTTGTTGTCTGTTTTTATTTAAATTTTATTTATTTTTATTTATTTTTCCTTTTCGCAACATATAGAATTTGGTAGGTTAAAAGGGAGAGTGAAGAGGGGGTGGAGGAAGACGGGAACAAAAGAAAATGGAAAAGGATAAGGAAAAAAAAGAAACAGAAAAACAGAAGCTTCTGCACAATCACAAACAATCTCACAAATTCCAGAAAAGGGGAAATGTTGGGTCTTGGGTTTTTTTTTTGCCAAGATACAGAAACAAAACGCCAAAGTCGGTCGCCTCTTCTCCACGATCCGCCCCCCGCCCCACTCTTCCTCGTCCTCCGTGGGGAGGCATGCACGGCCACGGTGCTCTGAAGGTCGGTGCTTTTTTAATCCCTTCCTTTTTTATATATATATTTTTTGCTGCTGTTAAGCGGCATCTTGCCCAGGCGCTCCGCGCGGCGGCGCAGCCGGGGAGCGACGGCGACGCCGCTGCCGCCGCGGCGTGCGGTGCCCTCCGGGGTGCCGCCGCGCCGTGCCATCGCGCCGCTCCTCCCGCTCGGGGTGCCCGCGGCCGCTCCCGCGCCAGGCGCTCGCTGCCCTTAAATCGCGTGGTTGCTGTAGCTGACGTACGTCTGTCTGGTGGCCAGCGCTGGAAGGACAGAGAGACGGACACCGCGTGCGTCACCCTCCTCTTCCAGCTCCCGTCGCCTGTCCCATCCCCATGTCCCTTGGGGRCGGGATGTGAACCTGCGCCAGGGTCACCCGCGCAAACCCGGGGCCACCGTCCAGTGCTTCGGCCGGCCTTGGGGCCCTGTGAGATGTCCCCACACCGCATGGCCCCATGCAGCAGCCCGGATAGACCCTGCACCCCGCTGCCTCCCTGCCACACGAGCCCCCTCGGAGATTCCCGGCTGCTTTTCCCAGCTAGCAATTAGACAGGCCATAAGGAACTAGAGCTGACAGAGCAGTTTGTTAGCCGCGCTGTTTCATAGCCAATCTGCCCATATCAAAGCCCTACAAGTGATTTATTCTGTTAGGTATTTAAAGATTCGCTACCTGCCAGTGACAGGGTGACAAACGGCCCCTGTCCCCTGCGCTGATAACGCCGCCATCTCCCCTGCCCGTGGCTCTAATGCCGCGAGCGGCATCTGTCCCCAGGGTGGCACGTGGACTCCAAAGGCAGGAGGGAAGGTGCTCAGTGCCTGGGAGCGGTTCTGGGTCAGGTGCTGGGCAAGGGGCTTGTTGGCAAGTCCCTCCTGCTGGAAGTACCTCCAGATACCCCAGAGCCTTGTGGTTTTTGCTACAAACTCCCTTTGGTCTCGGGTGCTGAGAACCAACCACAGCGTGGGCACAGAGGGAACATCTGTAACTCTGCAGGGTTTTCTGTGATGGAGCCACGGTGGAATTTCCCTTCTCCAAGCACCCCAGCAGCGCTGGCTCCAGCCATTCCCTCCTCCTGCAAGGCTCTAGTCTTGGAAACTCGGAAGGGAAGCAGGAATGTATGTACCATTCCCGGCTTTCCCAAGACTGCCCACGTGGCCTCGCTTCCCATGGGAGAYGGTGGCTTCATCCCAGAGATGTCAACGCTCAGCCTTAGCTCCAGCCTCAGCTGCCCCCACACTGCGCCCTTACCTTGTGTTTCCAGATTCTCACACAGCTCCGATTTGGCTTCTCCGTTGGGGCGGAAACCTCCCTTCTGAGAGAACTTGTTGGACATGGTGGCCGCCGTCACCACCGCCTTGAGGCTCCGCTTGCGCTTGGGGACGTTCTGCTCCGGGTGGAAGAGGATGATGTACACCTTGGGCATGTAGAGCATGCCCAGGGACACCGAGGCACTCAGACTCACCGAGATGGTGAGCGTCGTGGTCTGGATGTACATCTGCAAGACACGAGGCCACGAGCTCAGCAACTCGGCAGGGTCCCTGGCCACCACCGCCACCCGCCCCAGGCTCTCACAGGGACCTGCCAGCCCAGCAGCTTAAAAGCATTGTTGGAGACAGTGCTGGGGTCCCCAACACCCAGTCTCCTCAGCCAGCAGCCCCATGTGCTGCGAGGGAGCTTGGAGGCCACAGTGATGGGCACGGCAGGGAAACGTGCGCCCAGGACCAGCCCCGTGCACCCAGCGCCCCCCCGGCTCCCGCCACCAGGTGATTCCCATTCCCCAGCTGGCTCCCTGGGCCGTTGTCAYGTAAGTCACATATCGCACACCGACATTGCCTTTCTGCAGTCAAAACTAATTTCACGCTCACTGTCCAGGACTAACGGTGACAGATGTTTTGCAAAGTGAAAGCCCATTAATCTGACTGTAGAATAATCCATTTTTCTATGGAGAGCGCTTGGCAGGCTCCTCGCAAGCCGGGGGCATCTCAATCAGGTGGCCAGGGGACGTGAAGAGAGCCCCTCATCCCAACCCCTTCCCGCCTCTCCGGGCTGGCTCGCCCCTCCGCCAGCACCCACTCCATGGGCACCCGCTCTGCGCCCAGGTCCCTGCTGCCCACCACCTTCTCCAGCCTCAGCTCACACGTCGGGCCTTTCCTCACGGAGCCGGYGCGTTCCCTGGGATTTTCCCAGCTGTGCTCTGACACGGGGGCTATTCTGCACGTTGCCAACAAGGTTTTAGGAAGAGGCTTAAGGCGGTTTCTCAGCTTCATCCAAGGGCTCAGGCACGGCACGGCACGCCGGGCTCCGCCGGCAGCTGTTTCACACATAGGCACTGAGCAGGACGGGCAGGAGCCAACGGAGGGTCCCCAAAAAAGCAAGCAGGGCCGCGGCTGACAACTGCCACTGCGGCCTGGATGGAGCTGAAGTTGGGGCCCTTATTTTCTTCTATCAACAGAAGAAAGAAGTGACCAAGAGCAAAGGCCGAGTACAAATGCTTGGATGTCCCAGGAGGAAGCACGGGAAGGTGCCTCTCCATCCCAGGAATGAAAACAGGCAGAAAACATTGCCTTGGGYTGAGGCAACCTGAGCGTCCCCAGCCTGGCAAGGAGCCTCTCAGCCTCGCTCGGTTCACCTGCTCTCCACAGCGGGGTTGGAGCAATTGGGCAGATTTTGGAGGAGAAAAAAAAAAAAGTTTCATCAAGAAAAGACATTTCTCCATGCCAGAAGATGCCCTCTTTCCTGTCTCCTTTGTGGCTGGAATTTTCCAAACCCAGGTACGTGCCCCCCTCCAGCCACCTCTGTCACAGGCTGCGTCCGACTGCTCCATCAGCCTCGAGAGCTTGCAAGGCCCTGTTTCAGCTCAAAGAGAAATATTTTTAGCCTGGAGCTGAAGCACCAAGTGCTCGAAGGCCTCCGCATTCAACCCTTGGCCACATAAAAAAAAAAAAAAATATGACCGGTTGGTGGCAATTCCTGCTGGTGGCCAGTTTCCAATCCTGGACCCCACTTTGCTCCTCTGCTCATGACAATTCAGCCTCCCATAGAGGCACCCGAGGCACGAGCAGGGACGAAGAAGTGACAAAGAGGTGACAGCCCCAGGTCAGCGGCAGCTGCTGCATCACGTGCTGGGCAAGGGGCAGCCTGTTTGAGCCCGGGTCCTTCCCGAATCCTGCCAAAGAAACTGCCGGCTGCTCCTTCCTCTGCTCCCTGTCCGTCTGCCCCTTCCCTGCTCCACGTGTGAGTGCAACGAACGGGGAGGCAAACACCGACACCGGCGTCGCGCTGCCGCCTTATCAGCGCAGGAAATTGTCTCTTTCTTTAGATCCTCTCTTGCTGCTATTCCTGTAATCCTCAGAGATCGGCAGGGATAAGAGGTTCTTTTGAGAAAGGGCTTGGGGACTTGTTATAATAATATGCCACCTCCATGCAAAGCTGTAGGCACGACGTAAAGACAAATCAAAGGAAAAAGGAGATTTTTATCCGACTCCTTCAAGAGGGAGGCYTCATCCATCAGCCTCGCTGGGTCCGGCCACAAACAACCGCAGCAAGGCAGGGAGCGAGCAAAATTCCCAACGTCCCCCATGAGACAAGGAGCACCTGGCAGACCCCTGGCCTTTCCCACTTGGATGCACAGGCGGAATTCCCGGAGCAGACGCACAGCAGAATCCTCCCGCAACGGCTCGGCGGACGCCACGGCAGCCTCCACGAGAAGAGCTCCGTGTCCAAAGGGAGCTGGGAACATCGCTTTTCCTGCCTCTAATCAGCTTGTTAGCAGCCTAATAACAGAGCAGCCCTGCACATTACAAGCCCCTGAAGTGAGGTGCAGCCTATTGTCGAATCGCTACTTGACAGCYGGCTTTCGGCAGCCCTAAATTATCCCATGACAAGCTGCAGTGAAGAGGTGAGCAACCTTGCGCATAATCTACAATCATTATCATTTCCATCTTTATTACCCACAGTATGCCGAGCACATTAAGGCGGCTTTAAGGGAGCTTTTGTTTTGCAATAATTTCTTAAAAAACCTGCTTTCTTGTTAGTATCTCCCCTGCCATCTCATCAAAATGGAAATGCTGCGAAAGGCTCCATTTATTTTCTCTAATTCTCCTTTGCGCATCCAGACCGAGCCGAGCGGCTTGGTAGCTCCTCTTTGGTCRAGCCAAGGATCAAGCTGCCACCGGGGACCTTGGTTTGATGCTCTGAACATCCCAGGGGGACACAAACCCTCGCTGGTGTCTACAGCAGATCTCCTGATCCTTCCTGGGAAGTCAGCACCAACCTTCTTGCATTAGAGGTTTCCCAAATCCATGGCTCAACATCAAAGCCGAAAAATCGTGGGAAGTCACTTCAGTGCAGCGGACGTTGCAGGGAATCCAGGTGGCAGCCGGCCTGGGATGCGCTGCCAGGGATTCCCGAGGAAGAGCACCTGGTCACGGGCAGCCCTGCGCTGGCAGGCACCAGCTCTTTGCATTTAATAACAGCCCAATTCCCGCTTTGGCAGCCAGGCAAAGGAGATTTGGGTCTCATTCATGAGATTTTTCCTTATTTCAAACCCCTTCTTTGTTCCTGCTCGCTCGCACTAGAACACAGAGCTTCTCACTAGAGCGCAAAGCTTCCTCTGGGCTGGCCTCGCACCCAGGTGCCCGCACCGGGTCCCGCTCCACACCAAGCACCAAGATCCAGCAGCCAACGGATAGGGAGAGCGACAGACCCGGGGGGCTTCCCTGTGCAGAGCTGCCCCTGCTCCTTGTCACCAACACGTGCTGGAAGTCGCATCAAAACCAGATCCCCACCACAGCCAAGCGACCACTGGTTGTTGGTGTCACCTTTCCCAACACCCAGATGTTCATTGAAATTGTAGCGAAAGGGTGATGGATGAGAAGGCACACGCTGCATCGCGCCCCAGCGAGGCAAGGACAGTGCCCAGGTCCTCCCTTTCTTTCTCCCTCGTACCCAGCTGTTTCCAGATGGGAATTTGGGGAGCACCTCCATCCCTACAACCTCCGTCACCAGTTTAATCCAGGGAAAAGGAGCCACTAGGCACACTCGGGATCCCTCCTCCCCACAGAGTGCTCCAAAAGCATCTTTCTTGGTCCCTCCATGCCAAAGCGACACCAGGGGCCAGACTTGGGGGGAACAGAACAGGCAAGATAAAATGAGAAAAAAATAGAGAGAGAAGAGATTTAAAAGATAGACAGGGAAGAAGTGAGGTGGAACGCAAAGGAATGGAAAGGAGAAAGCAACAGTGCAAGGTCAYAGGCAGTGGGTGCTGGTTCCCTGCAGAGCAAGAGCTTTGGAAATCCACCCTTCCCACCATGATCTCCAAGCCAGGAGAAGCATGGAGAAGCATCCCTCCTTGCTTAGGACATCTCAGCCCGTCATCTTTCAGCACACAGGGCCACCYGCCCAACCTCTCCCTTCCTCCCTTACCTTTTCCGCCGACTGTGACGTCCCAAAAAATATAGGGATGAAGGCTAACCACACAATGCAAGTAGTGTACATGGTGAACCCAATGGGTTTGGCTTCGTTAAAGGTCTCTGGGACCCCACGGGTCTTAATAGCATACACAGTGCAGGTGACCATGAGAAGCATGCTGTACCCAAGCAAACAGATAAGGGAGAGGTCTGAAATGTCACATTTGAGGATGCCCCGGGCAAAGTGGGGGTTTGTAGTCCGCTGGTCCTCATAATCAATGACAGAGTGGGACGGGTCCACGATAAACCAGATGCAGACGCCAACGAGCTGCAGCGAGATGAGGCTGAAGGTGATGACCAGCTGGGAGGCCGGGCTGATGAAGCGCGGGGCGCTCACGGACTTCTTGCCCTGCTCGAAGATGCGGTAGATGCGGTTGGTCTTGGTGAGCAGGGCGGCGTAGCTGATGCTCATGCCGAGCCCCAGGAAGATGCGTCGCAAGGAGCACGTGCTCAGGTCGGGCTCAGCAATCATGAGGAAGGTGGTGGCATAGCAGAGGAAGATGCCCGTCAGCAGGACATAGCTGAGCTCCCGCCCYGACGCCTTCACGATGGGCGTATCGTTGTAGCGCACGAAGGTGACCACCACGAAGAGCGTGGCTATGATGCCCACGATGGCGATGAAGACGGGCACCACGGCCCAGGGCGAGCTCCACTCCARCTTGATGATGGGGATGGGCGTGCAGCTGGTGTGGTTCTCGTTGGGCCGCTCGTTGAAGTGGCAGCGCTTGCAGTGGAACTCGTCCAGCTGGTACTGGTAGCCGTCGCAGCGCTCGCAGTGCCAGCAGCAGGGAATGCCCTTCACCAGCTTCTTCCTCTCGCCCGGCTTGCAGGGCAGGCTGCAGATGGAGCTGGGGAGCTGGCGCCCGCCGCCCGGCCACCGCATGCTGTCRAGCTGCGGGGTGAGACAGCGTGAGCCCGGCGCATCCGCGGCCAACCCTGCTTCCCCAGCCCTCTTTGGAGCCCGGATGAGCCGGGAGCAAGAGCTGCCACCCATGGGACATGGGCTCATCCCAAGCCAGGGATGCCAGCGGAGCCGCGGGATGTCCCAAGCAGCCCACGCAGCCCGAGCCCTACCTTCAGGTGGAGGTGGTCGGTCCATTGCCCGATGACTTTGTACTCGGCCGTGGCGTTCCTGATCTGGTACTGGTAGATGTCRTAACGGCCGGGCGCGTCGCCGTTCTCGTTGAACGTCACCGGGGTCCCCGCAATGCCTGCGGGACAGCGGGGCTCAGCAACGGGGCGCGGGGGAAACCCAAGGGATGGCTGTGACACCCAACGCGAAGCCCCGAGGAGCCCAGCACGGCCGAGGGGCTCATGCGGCTCCCTCCCTGCCTTGTCCTGGCATCTCCGTTGCCCAGAGAGCCCATTTAAGGACACCGGCACAGCCCTYTCTCCCAGTGCTGCATACGCAGCAGCACTGGCCATTTCCCCGCCTCTTTCGAAGAAGGGGAAAAAGCAGCTTTAGTGTTAAATCAAGTGAACTGCGCAGATAAACACTAATAAAAGGAGAGGAGAGAAAAAAATCAAGCGAGAGGGGAAAATAAATAAGAAAGACATCGCAGAGGAGATCGCAGAGAAGAGATAAATAGAAGTAATAAGGAGGACAAGACAGAAAATGTTTATTAAAGAGATAGAGCAGAGGGAAAGATGAGTTTCCAGGAGAGATCTCAAGACAGACAAGGACACGGCCTGGGAAGAACCATCAGGAGAGAGCGTGGAGCCCAGACGTCCCCATCTGTCTGTCTGCTCCTAAACGCAGCGGCTGCTGCAGCCCTTCACAAGGGGACGCACCGCGGGGCCCAGGGGACGGGCACACCTGAGAAGTTGACGTTGCGGATGTATTTGAGCAGCTCCACGCCGTCCACCGGGTCCATCCTGGAGCAGAGCCCGACCTTGCCGGGGCACAGGCTCTTGTGCATGTTGTGCAGCGCGTGGCCCATGGCGTAGACGGCGTCGATGACGAACTGCACCTTGCCCTCCTGCTCGTACGAGGAGTCCTGGCCGATGCGCTCGCGGTCTGCAACGACACCGCGGGCAGCACTGCGATCACGGCGCGACTTGGGCTGCCAGCAAACCCGCCCTGCAGCTCCCCATCCATYGCTCTCTATTAGCAATGCCAAGGGACCATCTAGGTGACATGCATCACCTGCTGCCTGTCCTCCATCATGTCCCTAAATCTCCCTTCCTCCCTCTCCGCTCTCCTCCTCTTCCTCCCCCTATGTAGAGCCCAGAGCCCCTGCAGCCTCTGGCCACCCSGATCCCCCTGGATCCCACTGGGAGCTGCCGGTTGCCGGCGACAGCCGCCCGCGTCTCCTGTCACAGACGCTCTGAACGGGCACGGCAACATGTTAATCATTTAGCAGGAGACATCGATTAATGTAGCATGCTGTTAATTACTGAGAAGAAAGCATCTCCCACGGGACGCCGCCGCGACGGAGCGTCACGGATCCCCGCACCTCACCGCGCCGGGAGCCGGGCGGGAGCAGCGGGTGTCCCCGTGTCCCCAAAGGTCCCGGCACGGGACAGCCGGGCAGGCGTGCCCGGTGCCYGCACACTGAAGCAAACTGAGAGCAAACTGGCCAACAAGCTAAGATGATATCAAGGGGGTGAATTTATAGCCTATCCTTCAAAGTTATAAAAATGCTTTTGGAGCGCGTGGCGATTACTCATGCGAAAGCCGTCAAGTTATCTGTTCTTCCACGTTACGGACAAGGGCTATTAATCTTCCCCCTCAACTCGGGCCCTTTCCGCGCACTTGTCTCCCGAGCTGCAGACGAGCCTCTCTATCTTGTCAGGATGATTCCCCATTAAAGCGAGGGGCTGGAAGAGCCTCCATGCCGGAGTCCTGCCYGTGGGGACGGTCCAGCCCCGTTCTCCGTGCCAGCTCTGCTCCGGAGCCCTGGCAGGCCGTTGGGATGCAAAAACTGGATTTTCCCCCCAAAAGTCCCAATCCTTCACTGTGGCCAATGGCCCCCTGGCACCAGGCACAAGCTGGATGTCCCAGGGTTGCCGATCCGGTGCATTTTACCAGGACTGAGCTGCTTTTTCCAGGAGTGGATGGAGCTGGCTGGGAGAAGGAGCAGCGCGGAGCRGAAAGCCGAGGCTGGTGGTGACACGTTCCAGCCACGGAGACAACAAATCTCGCCGAAACCCTCGCTAGATTAGGGCTGCCAACGGGATGCAGCCCTGCTGATTATAATAGCAGGGTCGTGCATCATTCGACTGGGCTGGTAATTAATTTTCAAGTACGTGACGAGCCTTCCCAGGCCCCCCTCAGTGTGGGGATGCAGCTATCTCCTCCAGCGGCGGATGAGGAGGGATTAGCATCAATTCCAATCACATCGCCGGCATCGGCTTTCGGCGGGAGTTAATCAGAGCCGCTCACAGCACCGCTCTCCCCAGAGCCCAGGGGTGGATGCTGCCTTCCCCCCTGGAAAACCTGGAAGCAGCGGATGGGACGGCGAGGTGCACAAGCAAAGCAACGCAGAGAAGGGTGCCAGGCTGGAGAAAGACACATACGGTGAAAATCCTACACTGTGGAGCCCCGTCTCGGCTGCAGGAGCCGGAGAGCAACAAGCCAGAGAGGGAAGAAGAACGTGAGGATCATGGCCGGAGAAGGGAAACGCAACCRCTGAGTTTGAGGGAGATGTGCCTCATGTGCCCTGTCCCCTGCCCTTGTCCCTGCAAAGCCAGGCAGCTCTAGTGCCCGGCACGTCCCCGTCTGCATCGGCAYGTGGGCAAATTATTAAAGAAGCAGAAACGGAAGGGGGATGATGAAGGAGAGCAGCCTCCTCCTCCTCCCAGCTCCCATTTCCAGGCCAGCAAGGTTTAGGTTTCCCATCACAGCCCCAAGGGGGGTGTTGGGGGCTCTCCCCAAAGCTGCAGCAAGTTGGGGAGAYGAGTTCAGCTCCCCGGGACAGGCGCAGGGAGCCAGGGCCGCGCGACCTTGCCGGGCAGGAGCGCGTGGCGGCCGCCCGCCCGCCTCCCTCCAGCCGCCGCGCCGCGATCTGCCGAGCAACGCGCGGGAGATAATCTATTCACTGACAAATGCAGATAATTTAAAGACGGTTCTGAGGACATTTGCCACGTCACGCTTTCAGCTGCCTCCCCTAATGCCCTAGCCCTGAAATATTGCTCACTTAAATGCTACATTACTATGAAGATGAAGAGATCAGCGGTCTGCAGGACCCACTCACACATCCCGCCAGACCTCAGCCATGGAAGCAGGGAAAAACTAGGATGCTTGATCACCAGGAGCCCCAGCACGGGTATAACCAGCCCTGGTGACCACCAGGCTCGGCCGGACACGGCCCTCGACACCCATGGGTKCAGACCCCAGCGCGTCACCTGCCCGGGCTCCGCCGCCGCGGGGACACGCGGCCGGCCCGAGAGCCACCGCGCCGTTATCTGCCTTCAGCCAGTGCCAGGCGGCAGTAAATCTCTGCAATCTCTCCGTAAACATGTCACCTCCTTGAGCCTCCAACCATCACCTCGGCAGCCGTGCTGTCAGCAAGACAGATTCCCTATTTGCTTTGTTTACTGCATTAATCCCGACAAGCCTCTTTTAGCCGCGAGGGGCTAAAAATGCCCAGAGTCRCTTAAGGAGGGGGACGGGTGCCCGAGGATGCCCCGCTCTGCACTGGGAGCCACGGGGCTTGCGACAAACCTCRGGCAAACACCTCTCCAGGGTGCTCATCCCTGCTTCGGAGCATCCCTGCCCTCGCTCCGCCCCAAACCCGGACTGCTTTGGATGGTCCAAGCCCGATCCCACCTGGCTGATAAGGCCATAAGGAAACAGCACAACAAGGAAAATGTCCCCATCGCCTCCCCGGGCTCTCCAGCATCAGCCGCCCATCCGCGGGGCCTCCCGGCGGCCCTTACTCGTGCACTTCTTGATGCTGCTGCCCTTCTTGAGCGCGTGGCGGCTCAGCTTGCAGTGGAAGTTCTCCTCCCAGAACTCGGCGAACCAGATGTTGCGGCGGTTGTTGTCCAGCGTCCGGCTGGAGAAGTAGCGGTCAAAACCTGCCCAGGAAAGAGCAGATGGATGGCAGGAGTCTCGGAGACGGTGCAAAGAGAAGCAAAATGGAGCCAAAAATCGACAGGGAAGAGGAGGGATGAAGCTGGAGGAGATCCAAGCCCGCKCTCGCCTTACCTCTGACGGAGACCCTCTTGGGCAGGATGGTGACGGAGCCCTCGGCCACCTCCTCCAGGTGCAGCACAGGGGAGATCTTGGAGCCCCAGCTGTCCGAGCCCATCCAGATGAAGTGGCCCGTCTGGTTCGCCCTCTTGGCCGCCTCCAGCACCCTCCTGCGGGCAGAGCAGCGGGATAGGGGCCATGGATCCCATGGGATTCGGCTCCGTGCCCGTCGCAGAGGAGCCGCTGCCCGACGAGGTGCTCATCACTCCAGCACCCACATGGCTTCCCCAGCCCTATTTGCATATGTGCTCCCTGCTAATTGAATTTCCCCCTTAATTACCCAACATTAGGAGAAATAAAAATGAGGTTACACCGCAGCAGGCAGAGAAGCGGCAGCCCTGGAGCGCGCGGGAGCTCGCARTGCCCGTCGTGGTGGCAAACCAATGAAGAGGGCCAGACATCCCARCTCGTGCCAGGAAAGGGCTAAACTGGGCTGCACTGGTGCCACTTTGCGGCATGGGGACAGGCCTGGGACTCGACGCCCAGAGCCAAGAACATGGATAGGGTCTGAGATGCACAATTAGGAAAATCCTCCCATTCAAACAGAGGGCTGCATCCCGGTGCTGAGGAGGTGCATGGAAACAACCGGGAATGGGATGCATTTGCAAACAGACAGAAAATTGTTYAAATGTTTCCCAGTTCTTGGCCCTGCCATTTACAGAAGCAGGCACACCCGCCGTTCCCGCGCGTGCCTGCACAAATGTCAGCTCCGCAGACATTTCTATTAAGGAAAGGGAATAAAGACACTGGCAGTGCTGGCACATCTGATGTAAACTGATTTAAAATCACAGTTTACCCACATTTACATAATGTTTGCTGATTAATAAATTAGCTACTTAGGAAATCAGGGGTAATTCCATGTGAATCATCCCACTCYGTAAACAAGGGCAGCCACGATACTCTGCTCCGCCGCAGCCGTGCCGGCGCCCCGCGCCACGTCCCCCCCTCTCCTCCGCACCTGATGTCGTCCTCGTTGGCGAAGATGATGATGGCCCGGGCGTGGGAGGTCTCCAGGAGGCGGCGGATGATCTTGTCGAACTCTCCCGCCTTGGGCTCCCGCGGGATCTTCACGGACTGGGCCACGCAGACCCCTCCTGCGGGAAGAGAGCCCTGAGCCACCTTGGGGATGTCCCGTGTCCCCGGCTCCCGCGGCATCGGCAGGTGAGCGCGGCCCTTCCCGGGCCCGGATCAGCACCGCTCTTTGGCCACGGCCACGTCTAAATCATCCCGGCCGATCACCACGTGCAGAAGTGGTTAATTAAAGTTAAAGATGGGACAGCAGGGTGCCCAGTGTCCCCAACCCCACAAAAGACAGAGCCACTCGTGGCACTTCTTGCTGCAGCATTTGTGCAGCTACCAGTAGGAGAAATAAATACCAAATTAACAAGAACTAGACAAGGGGCAGAAAATTAAACCCCGCACGAGCTCCTGGCTGGCACAGATGCTCCCCGTTTGCATTGGAAATGACACGGCGGATGGTCCTCGCCTGCTGCCCACCATCCCTGCCTAAGCAAAGGTCGGGATGATCAGCGCCAGGCTCCCGGATCACAGCCCTGGAGTGGGACGAGGCCGTGATGGGCGCGAGCAGAGAGGGTAGCGGCCAAGAGCGCACGGAGCCGGGCACCGACCGCGGCGCTGGCAGCCGGCACGAGCATCCCCTGCACGGCCAGCCTGGAGAGGTCCTTCCCCCCACGCTCTGCAGCGAGAAACTGGGCCAATTTGAGGCTCTTTTCCCATATGGGGAGCCAGATGGATGGAGAGGAGGGAGTTGGAGGAGCAGGGCTCCAGGAGGGCGCGCGCGGGGCCCGTCCCGCGGCACCGCTCGCCCCTCGGCCGCCGCCGAGCCGCGGGGCCAGCGCCAGCCCCGGCGCCCTCGCCGCTTAATTACAGTTTCCATGGCAATAACGGGAGCAAAAGCAACGGGAGCAGCAGTCGGCAAACACGGGAGGCGTCCGCAGCCCCCGGCCGCGCTCGTGCGCCCGCGCGCTCCCCGCGAGCTGCGGCCCTGCAGCGAGGCTGCTGCAGGAGCTGCTCGCAGGGGAACGCTGCGAGCGCGGCCAGSGGGGCAGCGAGACCTGCACGGGAGCTGGCGAAGGAGCCGCCCCCGAAATAAATAAGGACAGAGACTAAATCGATGGACGTTTGGAAACAGCCAGGTTATTCGGCAGCTCCGTTAAATCAAACTAACAGGTAATAAAAAGAAAAGGTATACGGGCAATTAGTGTGTATTGAAGAGCTCGTTAATGTGGAGGGACACGGGGATCCCAGGACTGGAGGTTCATCCACACGACGGGAAGAGGCTGCAGGGGCTCCTGAGAGAAAGCGAGGCCTTGCAAGGCTGGGGATGCCGGTGCTGTTGCTAGCACGCAGGTGCAAACTGAAGATGCAGCCTGCTTCCCGCAGCACTTGGGAACATATAGGAGGATGCAGCCCGCCCCCAGCACACGGGAACACRTGAGCACGTTGCATTGGGGCACTCTGCTCCAAAACCAAAGCTCGGAGGCAGCTCAGGGCTCCCTGAGCCCCKCTCAGGCTCTGCCGCCCTAAGGGCACCTCAAGGCTGCCCTTGGCGAGCCACGTGCGAGGGCTCTAACACCTCGTAAGAGCTTTAACTTCTTAATTAACGTTCTGGAAAAAGCAGTCATGGGACAGTTCACCAAATCCCTGGACAAGATTAAAGGCAGAGATGTCTGAGAAGGCTGGGAGGGCACAGGAAAGATCAAAGGCAACRAGACTGGTGGGTGGCGGGGCACGAAATCCAGGCTTAAACACGGGAGATTTTCCAGCGCGGGCAAAAGGGCTGCGGATAGGGAAGTGATCCCGGGCTCTTGTAGATGGCAAAGGCAGCTCGGCCTCGAGCCGCATGGAAAAGGGAGGCGAATCCTCCTTGCCSCGTGCCTCGAGGCACCGAGGCTTTTAGTGCCGCATTATCCCTGGCCCMGCGGCGCGGGAGGGGAGGACGGAGCCCAGCGCTGCTCCTAACAGCTCGGCACAAAACCCATTTAGTCAAAATGCTTCTGGAAAGGAAGAAATCAAAGCAAGGAGGCGGAACAGGGGCGGCTGCTCTCCCTTGCACGCCTCAACTCCCAGGCCCTGGAAAGGACATGGGAAAAGCTCCCAGGCCCGGGAAAACCTCCTCCATCCGGAGGCACAGCCGCGGCGGGGATGCTGGGCAGGCCCCGTGCTTGCCACGATGCTGCAGCAGAGCGCCTGCAGCRAGGAGCAGCCTCCGGAGCCAACCCCGAGCCTCCCTCAGGCTTCGGAGGCAGCGATGCTCCCGCCGGCAAACCGGCCCGGGAGGGATGTCTTTGCTCCCAAGCCACAACGTGCCCCGAGAGCAGCAGGAGAGAGCGATGCAGGAGCCCCGCGCGCTTCCCCGTGCCCACTAGTGTGCCGGGACCTCCCCGGGGGCTCATTAAGAGCACCGGCCTCATTAAGAGGGGGTTAACGCGCGTTGTCAAACATGGGTCAGGGTTTAATCTGCCCCATTAGGGGCTCGGCGGGAGGGCAGCGCTGGAGAGCTGCTCAAGTGCCCTCTTGATTGCAGGCAGCTAATAAGCTTTAGCTGCCATGCGCCGTCCGGGGGAGCGCACGCTGCAGCAGCGCACGCCCTGCCCCTGCCCGGCCTCCCCCTCCTAARCGAGGCCACGCAAATTAAATCCGGAGTCTTAATTGGCACGACGACATCGTTGCTCGCAGCACTTCAAAGCCTCCTGCAAGGGACGCGCTGGGGGAGAAGTCACCAGGGACAAGCCCTGGAGGAGCGGGGACGGAGACGTCCCCCGCAGCCCCGCGGCCATGGGCAGCGTCCGGGGGCTTTGCAATTTGGGGATGACCCATGTGGGGGCTCCCGCGGGCACYGCTGGCATCCGCTCGTCCCTGCAACCGCTCCCGCCGCTGCTCTTCAGTGCTTGGAAAGCGCCCCAGACGTTACGAATCCGAGCAGATTTCGGCTGCTTTCCAGCCGCCTGCATCGCTGGCTAAATCAGTAATTAATGAATTTGCATTGGGGGAAGAGATGAGAGGGGGAAAAAGTAGAAGAAGATGGAAATCTGGAGCCCAGGACGGGCAGTTTGGGAGCAGAAGGCTGCAGCACAGTGTGACAGAGCCGGGTGTCCAGCACAGAGCAGCGGCAGTGGCCAGACAGGCCCCAAATCCCCGTTTCTCACATCAATAATAATGGCCTGTTTGTGCCCAGGAGCATCTTCTGCCAAAAACATAATCCGAGTCCAACCTCCAGGAGCCGGGACCGGGCGAGAAGACGGCTGGACACGCGGGAGCACCGGCTGATTCCCCATTCCCAGGGCAGGAGTCTGGCATTTCCCGGCACGTATTCCCCTCCCTGGAGGGCAGCGTCATGCCGTGGACGGTGCCGCGAGCCGTCACGGAGCCCACCGCCCTCRCGGGATGCTCCAGCAGAGGATAAGCTTGACGTAAAACCCATTAAAAGCAGCCAAAATCCATCCTTTGCAGATGTAACATCCTCGCAGTGCTGCTACCTGCGGCAATGGGCATTACTGCCCGATGGAAATAAAAAGCAGCTCCGAAGGCTCCAGCGTGGCGTGAAAAATGGAGCGATGCAAAGGAGGGAAGCTCGCACGGAGCACAGGGAATGCACGGCAAGGCATACAGCACCATCGCTTTAAGCAAGCAAATACGAAAAGGCTGCAAAATAAATAAATACRGTGGGGTCGGATCCTTCCCCGCTGGTGCAAAGCTACTCGGCACTGGAGCGAGCGCGGCGTCGCCGAGCCCGGCGCTCCCCGGCACATTTGATATACGGCACTCTGGCAAATGAGCAAATTGCTGCAGCGCGCGCCGCGAAGCAGAGGCACCGCCGGCCGCGCTCGCGCTGCCGCTCRGCTGCAGTTACGGTGGAATTACGCTTTGTGATAGCTAAATTACCACTAATGCACGTAGTCGCGGGGTTACACGGCTGCAGGAGTTACAGAACCGCCTCGGCTCCCGATCAACACGTGCGCGCTTGGACGACGGCGACACGCGCTCCTTTGCGCTGCAGTTTCTCCGCCACCAAAAGAGGTGTCTTTGCCTTTCCCTCGCTCTCGGCTGCATCACGTTTTCCCCGCTAGCCAGATGGGGCTGCCGTCAGCATCTGCAAACCCTGGCAGGGCTCGCAGCTCAGTCGTTAAGCGAGCAATAAAAAGCGAGACCTTGGGCAGCATCGCTGCGTCCCGGCGCTGCAGCCTCGCTCGGCCGCGCGCTGCCGGGGCCTCTTGGCAGCTGCCGACACGCGGTTTTTGCACGTGCCCACGCGCGCTCTTGCACGCCGAGGCGCGCRGGATCGCCGTCCCACCCGGCTCCCGGCGGGCACACGTGTGTGCTCACACACAGCTGCGGTGCCGCGCGCGCCTTGGCCAGGAATCCRTGGAAATCCTCTGCTTTCCAAGCCGAGCAAGCCCCGAAGAGCAGCGGGCGCAGGCTGGAGCCCCAGATGGGCTGCTCTGCATATTGAAAGCGCAGCCGGCTCCCAGCGCCGCGGCAGCCGGGCGAGACAGAATTAACGCTGCTCCTATTTATAGGGCTGCGATGAGGAGCTCGTCACCTCCGAGTTTTTATTCCCTTTATCCATTTATAAGGCCATAACGCAGTTTGACGAGCTCCAGACAGGCTGGTGTCCCACGGATTTTGCCAGAACTTAATGTGCCGTTCACATACAGTTAAGCCAGTAATAGGCAGCCGTCTGTGCGCCGCAGGATTTTAACTGCCTTGAACACTCCTCAGCTGCCATCTCGATGCAAAGAGGCACCGGGGCGAGGGCAGACCCCAGCGGGTCCCCTTGCATCCCGTTGGTGGGATGGGGTCACGGCGCATCCCACATCCCACTGTGTCCAGCCCCTCTAATCCCTCCTAAGCCCCCCGCGCGCCTGACAGCAAAACGCTTCCCGGCTGTGCACAAATCCTCGCCACGAGTTTTGCTGAGCACAGCTTTTCCGCCTGGCCAAAGCCTACAGAGCAGGCAAAGCTCCCGCCCCGGGGGATCATTCTGCTCAGACTGGGTGAAGCGCACACCGGTGCCACCTGCATTCGTCCCTAGAGCCCGGGAGCGTTTGCAAAAGCCCTCCCTCCTGGAGCGCGCCCAGGTCATGTCACCCGGAATGAGGAGCAGGCACCATTTTTTGGTTAGAAAAGCCCAAAGGGCATCCCATCCTCCGCCCAGCTCCTCCGGAGGTGCCCAAGCACCCGTGTCCTCCAGCCCAGCAYCCCGGGCCAGGCGCGCGAGGCCCCGCTGCGCTCCCCCTCGGCGGGCGCTCACCGTCCTCCCTGGATTTCTGGATGAAGGCCTCCACGCCGCTCTCGCCGTAGCTGCCCTCGGAGGCCAGCGTGGAGACGTAGTTCCACTTGAGGGCCTTGACGATGTCCACCATGGCCTGCGCCTGGTAGGTGTCGGAGGGGACGACGCGCGAGAAGAAGTCATAGCGGCTGTTGTCGCTCAGGTCGGGCGCCGTGGACGCGTAGCTGATCTGCGGGATCTGTGCACCAGGAGGAAGACAGGGCGGGCATCACGAAAAGGTCCTGGGCACCCAGAGGAGCCATCGGGCCACCCCACCAAGCAAGACACGAAGGGTTTGCTGAGCATGAAGGTGCCCAGAGGGGGAGAAACCCAAGACAAACCCCCCCCCGCCCTGGAGGACACGGGTTTTGGACCCCTGCCCAGGTCCCGCAGCACCAGCSAGGCCTGACATAAATCAAGCTTTTAAATTACCCAGAGCTGCCGCCCCTTGAGCTGCACATTAGGGTGATTTAGCAGCGGAGCATCGTGCCTGGCTTAGCGCTTATACAGCACTCCGCGAAACGCACCGCGGGCGCTAATGCATCTTAGAGCTGGAAAGGGCTCACGAAACCCACGGAGGGTCACGGAGCCAGCGGGGAGTGAACAGGGCCAGGAAGAGCCCGGGAGCATCCCTGCTCCCAGCGCCTCTCTGGGAAGGGCAGCTGGCTTGCTGCAGGCTGCTTAAATCCACACGGATGCTGCTGGCCTCAGCAATCACAGCTCCTGCTTTAAGCATTTAGCTTAATTAGCACCAAAAGAGAAGACTGAGCCAGTTTAGGGGGGCCTGTGCCATGCAGGGGTCCTGGGAGAGCTGAGTGACCCTGAGAAGTGTCAGGGGACCAAGCAGGAGATGCAGCTAAGGACTGGGATTCCCGGCATCATCTCCCTGGGCAAACCCGGCTCCAACCCAGAGATATCCCCTTGTCCTGTTCAGCTCGGCTCCCTGGCCCTTTCCAGGTTTCATCTGCCAGTTTTGCCCTTATTTCTCTATTATTTTCCCCTCTTTCACCCCGGTCTCTCTCTCTATTAAATGTGATGCCGGTGTTACCAACCCACGACAGCACCTGAATGCTAAGAGGCCCCTGGAAAGCAGGAGCCGCTCGCCAAGCTCGCTGCAAAACGCGCAAGGAAAACGCCTGGGGGGAAGGCAGGAGGAGCGGGAGAGGAGCAGGAGGAAGGAGCCTCCATCGTGGCACAAATAGGATTATTCTTGGTGACAATCTGCCCCGCGCTCCCGCTCCGCGATCCGCTCGCCGGCTCCCTGCGGCCAGGGCGGCGATTGGAATTCTGTGCGCAGGGCGCTCGCTCGCGCCGGAGAGGGAAGGGGGAGGCTGCTCCGCGCTGCTCCTCCTTCCCGCGGGAAGCGGGGCTCGGCATGGAGGCAGCAGGCGGGGAGGCCAGCGAGGCCACGGGAGGACATGGGAAGCAAGGAAATCTGGGGGTGTTTGGGGATCTGTGTACCAGGAAGGACATAGAAAGGGTCCCCATTGCTCTGCCTGCCAGGTAGCTCCAGGTCCTGAGGGCTGCACGGTGCCACCGGCATCGCGCGCCTGGGTTTGACAAGGTGGGAAGAGGGCAAAAGCGAAGCCCTCCTGCTGCTAGTGCCCAGCTCCAAGCGGGAGCTGCTCCCGGCTTCCTGCTGCAGCACTGACACGGAGCCTGGCACGAGCCGGCATTCCCAAAGGGACACATCCTGGAAGCACGCGGTCCCCAACCGGCCATCGAGCAGGGAAACAAGTCGTGACGGGGAGGAAAACGGCTTGTTGTTGGCAGGAGCCCCGCTTTCCAGGGCACATCCGTCCTGGCGGTGCCTTTTTCTCTGCAAAATGGTGAAGTTTTAAACACATCCGTGTGAYGGAGAGCTGGGGGCGCAGAGCAGGTGGCCAAGGGGCTCACGGGCAGTGGCTGGGGCGCACATCTGTGCACATCTGCATCCAACGCATGGGCGCACATCTGGAGCCACCCCAGCRCATGCACACATGGATGCACCGGTGCACACCTGGCTCTTACAGCGCACGCACCTGGATTCGCCCGTGTGGATGCACATCTGGATTTGCCCATTGGATGCACATCTGGATCTGCCAYCAGCTCTACCCAGCAGAGCAGCCTTGGGCAGTGCGGCCGGGGTATCCGTGGCGCCTCTCCCGCAYAGCCACAGCATTCGCTATTCCCAACCCATCAGAAACAGGAGCCCGGGGAATACCTGCGGATCTCCAGGCTAGAAAYTGGAAGGTGCATTTTAATAAACAAACAGAAAGAGCTTTTCTCTCTCTCCCTGCCCACACTGCTTGGATAGAAGCAAGAATAAAATATCAGTTCCCAAATGACTGTTTTAGAGCTGTCTCCTGCCTTTTTTCCCTCGTCCGCCTTTTTGATCTCCTGGTCTACAATAGCCCAACTCGCTCCAGCAGCTATTTTCTCAGATAAAAGACAAAAGTCCTTTAAGRTCCATAAAAGCGAAATGCAAGCAGGGAATTCAAGGTTCTTCGAAAGAAAGTGGAAGGAGGTGGGAAAGGGGAGCGAGAGCTCACGCACCGATGTGGGCACCTGCACGAGGCCGGAGCAAGCGCATGGAGAAACCCACCTCCTGCCTCATGTTGTACCCGTACTCTTGCTTGGGGGAAAAGTTATCCTCAAGGTGGCAACTATGACCCATTTTCACCCTGCTCAGAGTGGAAATGGMTTCACCTCCTGCTCCCATAGTTGTGGCATGGCCAGAACTGGGAGCATCCCAGGAAAGGGAGCTCRCTGCGAGCTCCAGCGCCCATCACAGCCCGCACAGGGACGGGGCTGGCGGCGRCTAATTTCCTCCGCGCAATTATTAATTTCATGCTTATCTTTATGCAAAAGCACCGGCTCACAGGCAAGATGGAATTGATTTAATTAGAATTTCCATCATGGAGCCGCTTGCACAGGAGGTTTTAACCAGGGGGAGCATCGCGCTGAACCGCGGGGGCTGCTGCAGTGAGGGGGACTCAAGGCCACTTGGGTGCTGCAACCCCAGCTGGGAGCAGGAGCATCCCCCAGGACGGCTCAGGAACTGCAAGGGCTTCCGGATGCCCGGGAACGGTTCCGATGCCGGTTCCAATGCCAGTTCCGATGCCAGCTCCAAGGAACAATGGGCAATGGGAGCAGTGAGAGCGCGGGAGCAAGCGCAGTTCTCAGAGCGCCGCTCGCCCCAGCGCACAAGCAAAATGCAGCTGGAGAAAGCTCCTTCCTTCCCCACGCTTCCCGCAGGGATGCGGATGCCGCTTTCCCAGCGCCGGCATCCAGGAGGTCACGTTGGCAGGGCCGGATGCCTTTACAGCAGCGGCTGCGAGGGCCGGGGAGCAGCTCGCTTGGGAGCCGCGACCAACGTGGCTCGGGCAGCGGGTGCCGCATCTGCAAGTTGCTCCGTTGATGTACGGCTTTAATTAGGCCGCTAACGAAGGGCGYGTTATTTATTTATGTGCAGCGGGAGCACGGAAAGCCGGGCCGGGGAGCAGCCCATTGGGCAGGGAAGGGAAGGGAAGGGAAGGCGGTGCCGGCAGGAGCGGGAGGGATGGGGCTGCCGGGGCAGAGGCCAGCGGGGCTGCGCAAGAGCCGCTTTTCTCCTGGGAAAAGGGCAAGGCAGGAGCCAGTTGTTGTCTCCAGACCCGGAGTGAGGGTTGTTCCCCAGGGATCAGGGGCTCTGCGTCCCAAGTGCCTCCTTCCCCAAGGAAAAGATCCCACCCATCCCTGGYTGGCTCCAAACCCTCCTCCCCTTCCTGGGCTAAGGATGCTCAGGCTTTGGTACTAAAAAGGGAAACAGAGTTTTTCCATGAAAATGAGGGATAAATTGGGATGCAGGAACCCAGCAGTCCACAGCAGGGTCCTTCACGACTCCTTCTGCACACTTGGGGATTCACTGCTGTCCAAAAGGGGTTGCGCTCAGCCACATCCTCCCCGCATGATTCACAGACACTTGGTCAACAGAGCAAAACCAGGAGGGTTAAAATGAAATCCTTAATTGGGGGGAGGGAAAAAAAAAGGAAAGAACCCCCCAAAATGGCGCAGCTCCCCTGCACGCCCCGGCTGTCATTCCCCTGCCTCCCTCCTCCTCCTCCTCCTCTCCAAGGCGAGTGCGCCACTGTTTTCATTTTGGCAAACAGCTTTTAAGTCCCTCCCGTTCGCTTTAATTCATACAGGTTTAATTATTGAGCAGCCCCCAGCACCTTCCTAAGAGGGGAGCGGGAGAACTCAAGCCCGGTCCACGATCTGTTCCGCGCTGGCAGCGCGCCGGGCGAGGAGGAGGAGAGGGCAGCGAGGAGGAGGAGGAAGGAGCGTCTCCGAGGAGGGGAGACSCTCTCCTGCGAGGGAGGCTGGCGCGGAGGGGAGAGCGGGTACCTTGAAGAGCCGCAGGATGTTGGCCACCATGATGGAGACRGAGCTGCCCGAGGCGCCGATGACGCCGACGACRCGCTCGGGCTTGGTGATGATGGGCGGCCCGCCGCCGGCGCAGCGCACCTCGGTGCTGTCCTTCTCGATGAGCGCCTGCACGAAGGTCAGCGACTGCTCCAGGGCGTGCGTGTCGCGSGAGCACGTGTCCAGGATGCGGGCGCCCAGCGTGATGTTGGGCAGCAGCTCGGGGTCGTTGTTGATGCGGTCCAGGGCGAAGAGCATCGCCTCGAGGCGGTGGATGCCCTTCTCCTTCTTGAGCTCGCCGCACGCCTTGCCCTCGGCGCCGCGGCCGTGCACGGGGAAGAGCCCCCCGAGCGTGAGGTCGCCGTCGAGGCGGATGGAGTTCATGTGCGGCGAGCCCTGGCCCCTGGGCTTGGCGGCGGGCGCCCAGCCCCAGCTGCAGGCGCCGAGCAGGAGGCAGAAGGAGAGCCCCCCGGCGCCGCGCCGCCCGCTCATGGCCGCGCCGCTGCGGGGACGAGCGCAGCCGCCGAGCCCACGGC